TGTTGGGGGCAATATGCTGACTCTCTGTAAACCGCTTAGAGAGGGCTGAAAGCCCTATGAAGCGGTATATAAATCTACTGCTATTGCTATTGCTAACCGCGTTTCATCAGGAACAATCCAAGGATAAAAGATCTGATGATTGCATTGATTCATATCGAACTTTGTAAAACAGTTCACCTCGGGTTAAGGTTTGGCGCAGTTCAACGTGTTTATGCGAAAGGGGAACCAAGTGAAAAAGGGCGTTTAGGGAACACGTGAAGTGTCCCTTTAAATTAAAAAAAAAGAAACTTCCGAGTCATTCCCTCCTTTTCTTCCCGCCCCCGCTTCCCCCCGTTATCCAATGAGCGCCCGATTTCCTCGGAACAGCGCCCCGTCCACTTCCCCAAAGCAAACGCCCCGCCCCTTTCGGCTCCCGCCACCTCAATCCCTCCAACCCGCCTCACGCTCCCAAGGGGGGGCGGGCCTTCCCTCGGCGGTTGGCCGAGCCCGGGTGGAACGGCCCCGCCCTCGGCCAATGGCCTTCGGAGGGCGGAGCCGAGAGAGACGCGGGAGAGAGAGAGGGAGAGAGAAAGAGACTGAGGTGAGTCGCGCGGCTGGGCGGGCAGTGAGGAGAAGCTTCGGTCGCTCTCGTTCGTTCTGCCGGCCACCATGTTCCAAGGACCCGAGTCCGACCCGTCCAGATCCAGCTCCAGGTGAGGCGACCGCGGTGGGTGGGGTTGTTTCCCCCCCCTTCCCTCCTCAGGCAGCGCTGTGGGGACTCCAAATCCCATCGTTCCCAGCCTTGGGACTACCCGACCCATCCCGCCATACCAGGTGAGGTGGGCGCGGTTGTTGTTTTTTTCTCCCTCCTGAGGAAGCGCTGTTGGGACTCCAAAGGCCATGGTCCCCAGCCTTGGGACTACCCGATCCATCCCGCCGCACCCCGGCGCTCCTCTCTTGCCGGGCGCGTTGAGGAAACACGTGTTTGAAGGGATAAATTGGGCGGAGGTTCTCCTTCCCATCCACCCGCTTAGCGAAATCCTCAGGTCGCGTTCACACGACGCGTGGAGCCCGGGCGGGGATGATTTCCGTGTACACGCAAGCCACCTAGGGGCCAGATTCCACGGCGTGTCTCGTGGGGACGCCTGGTTTGGCGGGGGGGGGCTGAATCACGCGCCTGGGGCGTCGCCGGGGAGGTCGCAGGGGGACACCCCAACCCCTCTCTTGATGCCGGCAGCGGCGACTCGGTTCGTCTTGGAGTGGGAGGGTGGACCAGCCGGCTGGAATCCGTCCCCCCGTGGTCTGGGGTGGGGTGGGTTGTCTGTCCTTTGCGGTGGTCCTCGAGGGAATCGAGGCAGGAGCCGTCTCCCTCCTCCTCTCCCCCCACCCCAAAAGGCCCCCTGCAACACGAAGGGTGGGGTGGCCGGCAAGTTATTGTGTCTGCCTTGCTGGGAGCAAAATATGTCGTATAAAATACCTATCTCTATCTTTAGCTATTCATTTATTTATCTATCTATCTCAATATCTATCCTTATATAACATCTATCTTATATATCTATATCTCTATATCTATCTGCTATATCTATATCTTATCTATTTCTATCTTATATATCTATATTTAACTATATCTCTATCATACATCTCTATCCCTATCTATTTATCCTATCTGTCTATATCATCCATCTATCTATCTATCTATCTATCTATCTATCTCTAACTTATATATCTATATTTAACTATATCTCTGTCTTTATCATCTATATCTATCATATATCTGTATCTATCTATCTTAAATTCTATATTTAGCTATATCTCTATCTTTATCATCTCTATCATCTATCTATCTATCTATCTATATCTATCTATCTATCTTATATTCTATATTTAGCTATATCTCTATCTTTATCATCTCTGTCTGTCTATCTATCATCTATCTATTCATTTGTTTATAATGACTTAGTAAGACCACATTGGAATCATTGCAGCCAGTTTGGGTTGGCCCAGTATAAAAAAGATGTTGAAGCTCTGGAAAGAGTGCTCAGAAGAGCAACAAAGGGAATTAGGGGACTGGAGGCTAAAACATATAAAGAATGGTTGCGGGAACAGGGTATGTCTAGTCTAATGAAAAGAAGGACCAGGGGTGACATGATAGCAGTCTTCCGATGTTTGAGGGGCTGCCTCAAGCTATTCTCCAAAGCACCTGAGGGCAGGATAGAAAACAATGGGTGGAAGTGAATTGAAGAGAGAAGCAACCTAGAATTAAGGAGAGACTTCCTAACAGTGAGGACAATTAACCAGTGGAACGGCTTGCCTTCAGAAGTTGTGGCTGTCCCAGCATTGGAGGTTTTAAAGAAGAGATTGTACGGCCATTTGTTTGGAATGGTATAGGATCTCCTGCTTGAGCAAGGGGGTTAGAAGACCTAGAAGGTCCCTTCCAACTTGAGGGCTGGTGGGACATGTTCCGTGAAAGATGTTCCTGCCAGAAGGGCATCCAGTCCTGCTTAACTAAGTGGTTATTTGTTTATGGCATCCAGTCAGGTTCGTTTATTTGTTTTATTCTTATCTTCATTTCATTTATTAAGTTTCTACTTCACCTCTCTTGCCTAAGTGATTCTGGCCGGTTATAAATTACTCAAGGCAGCATAAGATTCCTTCCCCTTCCTGTTTTCACCCCACAGCAACTATATGAGATGGGTTGGGCAAGAGAGAGCACTGACGGGCTCAAAGTCACCCAACTGACTTTTGTGCCTGAAGCCTAAAGCAAAACTAGAACTCACCCTGGTATTGTCTTCCCAATTTTTAAAAATGCTCCACTGCAAAATCGATTTGTCTGGGTTGTGACACGCTGGTTGTTATGTTCCAGGATTTCATTGCCGGTGTTTGCTCTCAGGGGTTTTCAGGGTTTGTACATTCTGCTAAATAGCATTTCTGGAATTGGATAAATAAGATATGTAACCATTCCCATTGAATCTGGCTATGTCGTCAGAACAATATTCTGTATGTGCCAAGAGCAACTTTTTAACTTTTTAACTTGAGCAGCAGCTGCCTTTGCCTTGAGGGATTATGAAAATGAGCCTGAGTAGGATTTCAAATGAGTAAGAGGCATTTGGTTGTTGTTCTGTTTGAACCCTCTGCCCGATTACTAGTTTTGGAGTTGCAATACTCCAGCATAAATTTTTGATTGCCAAAGGGAATCAGGTGCCACCCAACCATGCTGTCTGGCATGAAATTCCAAGAAGGCTCAACTGCATTTGCTTGCTTTGTTACGAAGTGGGTGTGGGTTGTGAGATCTTTGCTGTAGTTCTGCCTCTCTGCAGTTTCGTGTCCTGCCTGAGGCATAAAATCTTTTCTCTCAAACTGCCAAGGAATTGTTCTTTTAGGCCATGTGCAGTGAGCTTTTTTTTTTTTTTTTTACACAAAGCAGTAACTCAGGATATAAGTTGGAATTCAATCCTTTTTTTTAACTGTACGGGTCATAATTTAAAACAACAAACATTGTATTTATTCAATATTTCGAATAGTATTTATACCACTAGCTCCAAACAACTGGGAGTGGTTTTCAACAAATAAAGTACATAATAAACACCACAAAACATAATTCTCCCCTAGTGCCAGAGCATTACTTCATCTCTGGTATCGAAATCCTTTAAAAAGATCCATGCAAACTGCCTTCCTGCATGTAACAATGAACCATTTGGATCTCTGGAGATAAAAGTGAGCCATAACGGAGCATCATGAAAGCAATGCACCTTAGTTTCCTCTCTTATCTTGAAGTGTTTGTATGTGTGGGGGGGGGAGGGGGCGGGAAGAGAACCTCAACACCCCATCTCCATCCTCTGGACTGGCCTTATACTGATGGTCCTGCAGGCGGTTTAGGGCCATGTCAACTTATAGTGCTCTGTAAATTAAAGCTAGAAAATAGAACTGTATTTAGAAGCCCAGGGCCTCAGAGCAGCATTGAGGTTATGTGAAATGGGTAATACCTGTTCGTAAGCCATTGCTTCTATAGCATCACTTCCAAGTAGCTTTCGAGTGATGAGGGTGTGTTGCTAGGGCATTATCTTCCTGAAAAGGCCATAAATGGCAGAGAAGCCAAACCTGGGCATAAGCCCCATTAGTCACAGTTTCCATTTGCCAATCTAGTGCCAATGTAGCTGCTGTCTAAGGGGAGCCCAGATTGTGAAATCCTTCCTATGGGGCAAATGTGCCCCCGTATGCACATTTGATAAGAGGAGCGGGCAAAACACACAGAAATCTCTGGAACAATCCTTCCGGAATTCTGTCCTGTTTTGTTTTTTGTATTTTAGCCTCCAGGCACTGAAACAAGGATTCCCTTCCAATTCACATGAGCTTGGTCTTGTTGACCTTTAACAAGCTCCTGAATCTCTTGTCCCCCCACCCCCCCAGGCATCAGGCTTAGAGCTCTAGTGTCCAACCTTGGTAACTTTTAAGATTTGCTAACTTCAATTTCCAGAATTCCTTGGCTGGGGAGTTTGGGGCGTTAAAGTCCACAAATCTTAAAGTTGCCAGGGTTAGAGCATAGGATGAGCTCTGGAAATAACAATTATATAAATGCATGTTTCAAATTAAATTTGAGATAAATGAGCTGCCTGTGAAAATATGGTTTGCATGTAAATTGCGTGAACTAATGCCAAACCGTGTCTGGATGATTGGGTTACTTCTGTAATTTCCTTTGGATGCCGATATAATACTTCAGGCTCTTTTCCACTGTGGCATCATGAAAGAAAATAGCTGTAATTCTGCAGTGGAGTTATTATCTTCACTTCTTATCCAAGCAGTTTGATTGTAAAGGAAATTTTCTTTATGAAATTGGCATGGTAAACATCTGGAGTGGATTATAATTGTATCTGCAATGGGTTATAACTGCATTTTTACCATCCCTTTGGAAAATGTTATTACCGGTGAAACATCTTCTTTCCTTTTTAGATCATAATCTCTCAACTGACTATCACTGAGATTTCTGAACACATTCCTGAATTGCTTTAGTCAGTTTTAGGTATCCTTGCTTTTTACACTATCATCAAGCACTGTTATCCTCCAGGATGTGTGTTGCACAGTTGTCTGGTTACCTCCAAAGCTGTGTTCTTAAATGATGCAACCTGTAGCTTTGCAGGGAAGTTGATTTTTACTTTTGACAGTGAGCCTCTATTGAGTGCAGCAGTCTAACAATGCATATACTCCAAAGAATAAAGATTATAAATTTTCTGTGATATCCATTTGCATTTGTTGCTGGTGATGAGCCCCATCTTTTTCTAATTGCCAGCTCCAAACTTGCTTTAAAAAAAAAAAAGTCTGGGGCACCCTTATTAGGTCTCAGTGAGTCCACCTTAAACCACACATTTTCAAACCCGTTAATTGAGGGTGAAAATTTTGGGGGTGGGGATAAACTTCACCACATTTTGGGCCTGTCAATTTGGAGAGAATTGATTAGACTACTAGACTTTAACAGATCAAGATATAAAATGCACTACTAAAATAGTCTAACCTGAGCTGTTCCAACCTCGGCAACTTTAAGACTTGTGGACTTCAATTCCCAGAATGTTGGCTGGGGAATTCTGGGAGTTGAAGTCCACAAGTCTTAAAAGTTGCCAAAGTTGGACAATCCTGGTTTAATCCTTCAGAGAACAATAAAGTTGTTATGCTAGGCAATAATACAAATCTGTAATCTTTTTTTAAAAGTGTATCTCCTCATCGCTATTCCAATACTGTAGTTTTCACACATTCATGAAAGGGTGTGAACAGGTTCCTGAGGGATAAATTGAGCTCAGCGTTCAGCCTTCCTCAGCTTGGGATTGGGTGTGGTTGTGGCCTCACCCAGCAACCAAAAGGAAAGGAAAATCGCCAACAAGAAGAACCAGGCCAATTGTTGATCCTACTTTGCAACAATCCCTTTGGTTTGTGTGTGGGGGGGGGGGAGTGTACATATAGTTCTCGTAGGAAAGATCTGCACTAAGAACGTTATTTGCCAGTACTGTACAACCTGATACTTTACTCAGAATTCTTCATGTGAATCTTAATATTGAAAATTGTTAAGTATCACAGGCTCCAAGAAACTCTTTTGTTTCTACTTCCTTCAAAAGAAATATTTCAGATGAAGAGTGCCAGATAAAGAAGAACATTGATTAATCAGATGCTGGCCAAGGTTTGCACATCATTCCATGCCCCCAAAACATGATTTCCAAATTAAATGATCCTACAATTTACAGAAGTATATTAAATGGAAGCCAGTGTGATATCAGAACCTTAGCCCCCACCCCCTCCACTGCCTACTTATTTGTACAGACTATCTTTTATAATCATGGTTGATTGTGGATTATTTTATGCAAAACAGGGTGCTGCAGCCACCAGGTGGACAGTCCAGCGATCTCTTTGGAAGTGCAGAAGTGTCCTCCTCTTCCAAGACACAGAAAATGGCCTCTAACATATTTGCAGCAGCTGAAGAACCCATGAATTTCCCAAAGAGAACAAATCCCCCAGGTGAGAACCATACCCTTCTTGAAAATACTGAGAACGGGAGTGACAGGTTTGATATTTTCCTCCACGGAACCAGATAACTATCATTTATTATTATATAGTCCCAGCCATTGTCCTCCTTTCAACAGAAGAACCCCCGTTGTTCACTACCTGGCATAATTTAGGTTGCTGACAATTTCAGAGTTAATTACTCATAGAAAGAACAAGTTTATTGCTATGCATAAGTGAAGTGTTTTGCAAGTTTACTTGATTTTGAACATGATTTTGAAACTTGTTTTGTAACATCTTGTTTTGTAACAATCGCTTGTTACGATTTTTAAACAACACTGAGTTTGTAAGGTGTAAGCTTTTTTTTTAATGGCCACATGTTAATATTTTGGAGTCTCGAGCTGTGACCACATTTGAGCCCTAAATTTATGTTGCTAAGTGAAATACTTCTGAAGTGAGTCTTCCCCGTTTTATGTCTTTTCGCACCACAGTTGTTAAATGAATCATTACATTTATTAAGTTATCAACGTGGTTGTTAAGTGAAGATTCCCCATTGACTTTGCTTGTCAGAAGGTCGCAAAAGGGGTTCAGGTGACCTTGGGACATAGCAACCGTCATAAATATGAACCACTTGCTAAAGCATCTGAATTTTGATCACGTGACCATGCGAGATACTGCAATGGTCGTAAGTGTGAAAATCAGTCATAAGTCACTTTTTTCAGTGCCATTGTAACTTTGAACCATCACTAAATGAACTGTTGTAAGTCGAGGTCTATCTTTATGGTCTGGTTCCTAGAGGGCCCTTTTAGAGTATCTTAAGGCGTGCTTTCTCTTTATATATACAACTTATAATATATAATATTTATGGTTTATACAGTTATTTCTGAAATTAAGGACTAGGTACAGATATAGATAAATCCAGCTTACATTAACTTTTAAGGGATGTTAATGCTTCATTTACATTTTAGCTTGCAAAACACGCTTACCGAGCCATACAGTGGTGCAAATCTCTGGCTTAGACGTGTTATTTTTACACGATCATTTCTTTGATAAAGGGTTTTTTGTAACAATTTCGTTTTCTTTCTTTTTTCCCCTCTATTTGTAATGCTGGTCAAAGAGAGTAATAAAGGAATATTAAGCAGCAGAAAGGAAAATCAACAGGATTTCAAAAAGGAAGCCCTTATCCAAAGCTGTGCAAGCTTGTCTGGTTCCCGGAGGGCCTCAACATCCTAGCCTTAGGGTTCGCTGCTCGTTTCCTCCTGCCCTGGAGAATCGGAGGGGAAGAGCAGTTCCTGCAAACTTCCTCAGTTATTTTTGTCTTGCAGGTGGGAAAGACAGCGGCATTTTTGAGGATCATAAACCGAATGCATCCCGGCAATTTATAAACCCACCTGGAGGGAAAACAAGCAATATCTTTGGCACCCCATCCCCTCTCAGTGCCGTCAAAGCACATCCGAATAAGCCCAAGGTAACTCGCTTACAGCTTCCACTCACTTTCTTCTATTAAAAAAAAAAAAGTAGCAGCCCAAATTACAATAATCTATGTATTGGTGGCTCAGGGGGACCCGATGGCTCAGTGGCTAAGACACTGAGCTTGTCGATCAGAAAGGTCGGCNATATATATATATATATCGCGTCTGTATAAAGCAAGAATGCCTGTCCTTAACTGATTATTTTTTTGTACCATATTGTAAATTATATTATTTATTCTTTATTGATTTTTGGAAGAAAAAAAAAGGAAAAAAGGGTGTTTGGGTTATTTAATATAATATACACTTCCTCTGTTTTCAATTTCCAATTCAAGTTGTAAAGTTGTTTTTATGATTGTCCATAAACACTTACTAATCCTTGGTCTAATTTGTGTGTCTGAGATAAATCATTTCTTCTTCTCCAAGTTTCTATAGTTAAGAGTTCAGAGGCATTGGAGGCTGTTGGGAATTTCTTTGAGGCTCTGTGAAAAATCAGTGTTCCATTACATTGGGTGAAATTGAGTATAGAAATGTCCTGGAACGTTTTAACATTTGAGGCATCAATATGCAGCCCTTTTAATTCTTGTTTTGATGAGTGCCTGCATTCCATGGTAATTATTTTAATGACCCCCCCAAAAAGCGATGAATTAGTTCTCCTGCTACCTATAACTAAAAATGGTCCCGAATTGCTGCCACTGACTTTTGATTAGAAAGTAAAACTGCTCCGCTTTGAATGTTGCTAATCATCCTTCTCAAATCTGGCAGATTTGTGGACTTTAACTCCCAGAGTTCCCTAGCCCAGGAAGCGTCCGATCTTGGCAACTTTTAAGATGTGTGGACTTCAACTCCCAGAATTCTTGGAGTTGAAGTGCACAAAAAGTGCCCTAACCAATATAGCCATTGCCGAGAATTCTAGTAGTAAATGTGTTCACACATCTAGAAAGGCTATAACATAACAGCCCTCCAACGTGTCTCCTGAAAAGTACTATCAACTGCACCCAGCAAGCAACATAATTTGAGTCATGCTTTAAATTGTAGATCAATGTCTCACATACTCATCCATGATGTGAAACGATGTGTTTTCCAGACATGAGAAGGAAGCTAGATACAGAACAGACAAAAACACCAAGGTCAAAAAAGTCACATAGTGACAACATTGTGCCTTTTTTTTAAAACAACACCCCTCCGCTCATCTGGCTGTTAGAATGATTCTAAAATACAAGTTAACTACCACTGTAATGAGTTTTATTCTGAGTCGACTGGAAGCTGATATTTGGGTCTGATTTAACACATCACCCATTGTGTTCACACAATCACCCAAGTACAGCGTAACTGAACTACAGGTAGTCCTCAGCTTACGACCATACTGTCAGCGTTCCAAATAGCATCCAAAAGTAAATTCCTGATGGCTGCAGGCCTGACACACAACTGAGCCCGAAATTTATGTCGTAA